GACGAAGTACACTGCTGAGGGGAGCAGCGGGCGGGTCAGGAGAGGTCTGCCGCGCCATGTGGGTCAGCTCCTGACTGGGAATCAAGTTTGTGCTGAAGCAGCTGCAGCTAGCTTTGTAGTGCTGTGCTTTAACCTGTTGTGCCACGAGGGAGGGCTCACATTTTATAAAGTTTTAAGAGAAAAGGAAAGCATTTATTTTAGCTATTCCTTTACATTTCACATTGAAACATGTAAAGGACTAAATGTAAAAGTATAAAGTCTGGCTGGTATTTTATTTCATATATTTATGTGCCAGGCTCTGGAGGCATGGGGGAGCCGACACACGTGGTTCCCGCCCTCTGGAGCTTAGTCTATTGTACGTGCTCAGTATAGACACAACCATTGTAGCCCTCGCTCCGGAACACACATTTTCTATTCATGGCTGGGTGAATCGTGGTTGTGGAACCTGAGGCGGGGGAGGGCCACCTGTATATGTTCAATGGATCTGTGGGGCTGAGGTCTCAGGCCAGTGATGGGAAGCCAGGGCCCTGTAGGCCTCAACTTTGAGCTAGTTAGCATGTAGCTGAAGTGGGCATCATTTTTCATCATTATCCATGTTACTCCAATGGATAAGAAAGGGCGCTGGGGCAGAGCCTGCCAGGAGGAGCTTTGTGAACTTAATTGAATGTCTCCTTTGCTTTTGTTTCTGCTTAAGCCACTGTGCCAAGACCTGCATTTTAAATGAGTTATTCTGCTTCTCTTTCAGACCACCCTTCCTTTAGAGCTTCCTCAGGTGAAACCAAAGAGAAATGATGAGGGCAAGGGGCTAGGGATGCAGTTAAAAGGGCCAGTCTCTGAGCTGAGGGCTGCTGGTCACTCCAGACCAGGGCCATCTGAGGGGGCTCAGAAACCTGCTCCCCTGCTGCCGCCAGTAGCAGACCATTTGGAAGAAGAATTAGATCTCTTGCTTAATTTGGATTCACCTGTAAAAGAGGGAGAGAACGTCTTACCGGCTCAGACACCTCTGGATCTGGAATCTGAGAAAGATGAGGAGCTGGCCCAAGAAGAAGAGGGTATGGCTGCTGTTCCTTATTGGAGTCTGGGTTCTGGTGTCTGTGAGAGAACAGCCCTCTCTGTTATACCCTCACACATCCCCCTCAGTGTCTGACATTGATCCGGCGTTAGCCACCGACATCTATTTCTGGGCTCACATTTCTGCTTCCCCCTGGGCTGACCTTTCTGACAAGATTCCTCGTGCTCAATATTTGGAGCTCTGGGTTGCTGCTTGATTGCACTGTTTGAGTGAGGGCTACAGCAGGCCGAGAGCCCTTGTTGGACCTCAGCTGTGCAGCGGCAGACCTTTTAATCGACCGAACGGGTCTGGTCGCCAGCTCTCCATCCTTCTGGCTAGTTCGATTTATTTTTTTAAAGAATCATTTGTGCCTGTTCTGTGAGATGGTGGCCTGTGTGGTAGGGAGGGGCCCCCGGTGACATCCCATTCCACACCACAACAGTCCAAAGAAACCCAGTGGTGGGTCTTTAAAACAAAAAATGAGTGAATTGTAAATTCTAAATTCAAGGTTAAATAGAAGAGTGGCTCTTGACCTCATTTATTAATTTCTTTAGATATGGTATTATCCTTCAGGGAGCAGGAGCAGTAATAGAATATTACCCTTTGTAAGAGGAGTTGTAATTAAATTATATCATAGAACAGACCCCAGGAAAGCGCAGTTTTAGGACTGAGAGGAACTTGTTAACATTGCTTTTATTTTTGCTAGTTCCCACAAAACCGTCTGTGATGGAAGAAAAGAAAGTGGAATCAGAGCACCCAAGTACATCAAAAAATGTCACAGAGGAAGAGCTTGAAGACTGGTTGGACAGCATGATTGCCTAAAAAACAAAAAAGTGCCTGAAGCAAATCCTGGTTGCCTTGTAAGTAAGGGCTGTCCACGAACAGCTGGCTGACGGCACCCCTGCGCCTACCTCTGTGTCTCTCAACACCTGACATAATACAGTGAAGAGGCTCATTGCACTTGTTCTCTGGCTTGGTAATTTAGTAGATTCCTCAAGGGCACCAGGGCGGGGGATGAAGCTCTTGTTTCCTGCCTCTTCCTCTTGATTCTAGCGTAGCAAGTGCCATGGAAGAGAACAGAAACAGCCCACAAGGTAGTCCTTTGGCTGAGTAACTGGCCTGTCAATGTTTCTTCTTTCTGGGCGGGTCCCAGGGCTTTTTGTCCCATGTCCCTTTCCCAGGCAGTTGCAGTGTGGAGGCAACGCCAAGAGGCACGTTACGAGGCCAACGCACAGACTGGTTTGTATGACTTTATTGCAGTGGGCACTTCATTTTATTTAAGGAGATTCACCAAAGCAGCTCCACTACTTACAGGGGACCATAAAGCATTACTCGATTTGGCATAAGATTGAGAGTTTCTGAAATTTCAGTACAGTACTTTTCTTCTAATAACAGCAGTTGACAAGCTGTTACTGAAAAAAATTGTCTGAGTCACCTCCAAGTGCAATTTCATAAAGACAGAGGAGCAACACAACTAGTTAATGGAACCGTCTGGAACATAAACATAAAAAACTTGCATAGCTATATCTAAAGAGATTTTTAAGGCACTTACTTGATATTTCAGTGTCGACAAAGTGGTGGTTTTTTTTCTATGTCTTTAACTGCTTAAAGCTTTTCAAGCTGATTCTGGATACATTCACTAGCAAGTACCATGGGAAAAATTAGACTGCAGTTAAAATGAGCTTTTGTAGTTCAGACCATGAGTCACTAGCGCGAAACTGTCATGTGACATTAGTGTTGAAGACTTCATACTTCTCCCTTTTTCTCAATGATGCTCTCCCTGCCACTTAGTTAGAACTGGACCACTGGAAGGCATTCAACTAGTGACTCCGAGAGTCTCTGCTGTCCTTACCCCTCCCACACGAGGTTTTTTGACAGGTTATCTCCCACAGTATACATCCATTAGGTACATAAAAGCTAAATCAAACTCCAAAATAGCACAGATTTTAACACATACTTTCTTGTAAGGGAGGCATTTAGAAAATGCCACATTTCAGATGTGTTGCAGGCCCCTAAATGGAGGATGTCATCTTGCCTGAAGGTGACCATCCAGAGCTGTAGCCTCACTTTCAGATTTACCCAAGCTGATCTTCATATTGTTTGCGAAAGCAGTCACCAGCCGGAAAGAAATCCCAGCACCTCTCTTGGTACATCTTCCAGACGTAAGATTCCTGTCATTGGGTGAACAAAGGGTATTTTTTTTAAACAGGTGTAAGCTAAAGCCAGTGTGTCCTCACTGTCGTCCATAGACATGCCCGTGTAGCTCTGTACCTGCCTACGACTGAGTGATCACCCCCAAAATACTGAAAGACTTCACAGCAGGTTCATCCCACTTCATCTGAAGTTGCTAGAAGGCAGAAATTGGAAGAACATTTCACACTAGCTGGGGCAGCGGGCTAAGGCCAGATCACACCCTACCTTTTCACTTCTTGTTCAGATTCCTTTTGCATACATAGTCACAGGATCCTTTTGACACAACTGTCATTCACACCATTTGTGTCACCCACACAGAAGGTCGTTTTCCTGACACTGTCTGTCACACTGCTTTACTCTGCTGTGCCTGCTCTTGTTACAGTCACCCACTCAGTTTCTTATTGTCTTTTTCTCTGGAATGTTCTCCCCACCTCCACCTATTCTACTCTGAAACAATAACCATAAGTGTTTAGAAAATGTCAGTGTTTGTTGAGGAGGATAACCAGAAGGGCTTCTGAAGCAGTTGCGGGCACTTTAAGAGATGAGGGAAAATACAAGGAAGAGCCCAGTAGGTCATTTATTTCAGAGCCTACCCTACTGGTCTCCAGGAAAAGGGGCACTCTAAAATAGGGGTGTTATTCTTACAGATAATGCATTTTCTCACCTGGCCTGTGTGCTCTGTTTCATCTTTATTGATCAAATACATCAGAAAAAACCTAGAACAAAGAAAAAGATGAGGAAAAAAATGAAATACTTTGGTTAGGAAACCTAAATGCATTTACTTGATCAAGTGAAATAGAAATATTTCTCATCATGCTATTGTGCTTTCCAGCACTGAAGGAATGTGGCACAAGGATTAAAAACCATTTTTTAGTCATTACTTTCAACACATTTGTCTTTTTGTGAAGATACTTTTTATACCCCACCCCAACCATGAGCTAAGATCCTATGTGAGAGGATACATTTTGGCCACCATTTGTTGTCTTTAAAAATCTTAACATAAAATAATAACTAAAATATATCATTTATTAGACCAACTTTCGATTTTTTTAAACACATTTTCCAGTTTATTTATATGATAAAGGATGCAGATGACAAGTGAATGGAAATTGCCTGTCTCAAGGATATGTCATGAGAAGGGTGAAGCCTATTTAAATTGTCCCAGAAGTAAAGTTTTGCTTCTAGTATAGAAAGCTATGCCTGTGTAAGTTTTACTTGATCTACCCACGATGTGAGTTTTGAATGTGTTGGACTGGAAGACCCCAGCTTGTGTGATAGAATGGCAGAATCATGTCTTCCAAAGGACTGTCCCGTTCCCTCTCTCCGGGACTGATGAGGCCCGGCTGCTGGTGGTAAGGAGAAGGCAGAGCTAACCTCCCTGCTAGGGTGGGGGGAGCCTGATTCCAGGTTTGAGTTCTGTAGGGATATTCTTATGTCCATAGCCTCAGGTATCTCGCCCCCGGGAGCGTCTATAAATCCTAGTTTCCCTCTTTCCTTTTACTTGTTGGTATCTTGACTGAGACCTGGGCATATATAATGTTATTCCTTGCCCAGCACATTTAGTCAGTTGACAAAGCAGCATTTTTAGGGAGGATTTGAACAATGAACAAAATGGGTTCTCCCCCTTCAAGCTTACTACTAGAGGGGGCAAAAATAGTGAAGTATTGTAAGCAGCAGCCCATGGAAGAGGCAGATGGGTCCCAACCCAGAAAACCAATGCTGCCCTTTCTCTTCTCCTCCTCTGGTCCTGAAACAGGGTCACCTGCTTGCCTTTTAGAGAAAGATGGCCGTCCTGAGCTTGTCCATCAAGATGCAAGAGGCTTTTAATTCAAATTTAGCCTAGGCCCATTGCAACCCTAAATAAGGATAAGTACTTTAAAAACATGTCCTATATGTCCAGGTCTCAGTCAAGATACTGACAAGTAAAAGGAAGGAAAGGCCTAGGCTGGGTTGCAGAATCCTGTGTTTTCCATTAAACAGTCATTGGTTTATAGACTTCGTATAGCATACAGAATCTGAATAGTGTGATGTAGCTAGTCCATAGCAGATAACAGGCTCTGAATAACTATTCCTGAGAGGAGGCCTAGCTTTGAAAAAGTGCAGTGTTTATTATTTACCTCCTGGGAGCCAAGCAGTTAGCTGCTGGATTCAGCAGTGTGAAAAGACACACATCCAAAATTGTCCCACTTGGGTGGAGTTATGTATTATTAGGCCAGGACAGCTATGAACATTGTGCATGGAATCCTCAGGCCACCTGAGAGTGAATGTGACAGTGTGTGGAGGTGACTGAATAGAAGGCGGGTCAGAGAGAAAGATGACAATTTTCAAGTTTTGCTGGAAGTAAAAGTGGGGTCAGTCTTTTTTCTTTGTTCTGGGTTGAAATGTGTGGTGACAGGAAAACCCAGGAAAGTGTTAGGTGACCTTCAGAAAGGATAGAGTTTAATCCCTGAGGGCTTGTCCTTTCTTAGGAGTGGAAATAGTCCTAACACATCAGAACAAATGAGAACAGAATAAATGCACAAAGGGGACTTCTGGACATTCTTTACTGCCTCTACTTTTTTTAAAGAGAAATCAGAGGAAATAGCATCAGCAAAGTGATGAACTCTAGAACTGCAGCTCCTCCCTGAGAGACAGGTACACTCTTGCCAAGAAAGAAATAATCTGGAAGTACTCTCTAAGGTACAGACTTCCTCTTGGGGGTGGGAGGTTGTGGTCCAGAATGGTGGAGCTAAGTCCCTGGAACCCCCTCAGTGAGACCAAAAGGAAGTGAGCGCAGATGGTGAGGTCAAGGGGAGACTCGAAGCCAGTCCTTTAAAGGGCGTGAGGCAGACTCATCGAGGCCCCATGCAGAGGGCCACTAGCTCAAGGTGTGGGAATTCTAGGCACCATCAGGCTGCGCCTCCACAGGCAGCCCAGTGGCGGTGCCCTGCCGCACACACCCCCTTCAGCCAGGGTTGAGGCTGAAGCCATCTAGTGCACCACTGCTCTTACATAGTGGCAGGTGGGTGGAGGCTAGACAGCCGTATGACTGGATAAAGATGTGGTACACACACACAATGGAATACCACTCTGCTGGAAAAAAGATGGGCAGATCTTGAGGGAATTATGCTAAGTGAAATGAGTCAGGAGAAAAATAAATACTAATGGGTTCATTTCTGAAATATAAAGAAACGAAGCAAATGAATGAACAAAACAAAAATAGTCCCTTAGAGATAGAGGCAGCAGTGTTGGTGAGCAGGCAGAGTGTGATACAGTCACTGAGGTGAGACACTGAACACCTGGAACCTAGAGTGTTGTAAAGCAACATTACATTAGTGAAAAAATGATATTTTAAGGCATAAAAACCAAAGTACTCACAAGTAGTTGGCTAAGTTGTGCTCTTGTAATGTATGTGTCTCAAAACCATGAGGGGTTGTGTCAAAGTAGTCATTGCCAATCCCACAGATGAAACATTTCGTCTAAGAAAGATAACAGACATCAAAGGCATGACCTGACAGGTTGGGAGCAAAAGGGAATGTGATCTTATTGAATTGAGACACTTGCAAAATCTCTTTAATGATTTTGACTACGGGGCCTTAACTCCATGGTGCCACATGCCTAACCTTTGGCTTAGCAGAGAACCGTGGGAAACACACTTTGTTGGTAATTTTGCCCAGGACTGGTCTAAGTAATAGCTGAGACTATATTTTAAAAATCCATTGGGTATCACACAAAAGTAGACTTGGAATTAGGAGGACTTTACCTCCATATCTTCTCGTACTTGTTCCTGTTGGTCCCTCAGTTCTCCAAAAGCATCAATGATAAGGCCTGGAATTTTAAAAACAGAGACAGAAAAAGGGCTCTGAAGAATCTGTTTAGTGGTTCAGGGTAGAGGAATGATTGAAGACATAGCAAAAAAACAGTTTGGTTAAAAAAAAAAGTTATTAAGCCCAAATGATTGAAGCAAAATCAGGGGAAAAACCAACCCGTGTTTTCAAATGCTACATCCTGGTTAATTGTGTCTCTCTGCTGCTTTTAACCCACCTCTCTGCAGTGTTCACTGCTAGGTACTCCCCCCTTGAAATGCTCTTCTTGGGGCTTTCACATTCCTCCTCCTCTGCTTCTCTTCTGTGAAGTCTCTTTGACCGTTACACCGCTGAGGGGTCCATTTCTTTTGAAAGACCCCTATTAACCCTCAACACCTCACATCCCTGGGCACACCAAGTCAGCGTGACCTGAGAACTCATCACTACCTTTCGCCACTTCCTGATGAGCTGTTGACTAGAGTATCACTGCCCCCTCTTTCCAAAGGAAGAGAAGTCCTGTCACAGCCCCTCACTGCTCTCTCCTACAGCATGGTCTTAGAGATGGTCAGGGTGGGCATCTGAGACTGGGGAGAAGGTGGCAGCACTCATGAAGGAGGCATCTAGGAAGCATAGGGAATGATGAATTCACAGTGGGGGAGGGGAGGGGCAGGGTCCCTGAAAGGATTTGCAGTTTTTCTGTAGCAGTGCCTGGACAGATCCTTGGCTTTCTACTTAAATGTCTTTATAAAAAGTTGTGGTAGCTGCAGGGAGATGAAGAAAGCTTGAGCCAGGTTCATACTCAACACGACGGGCAACCTTACCTTGAATGATGGCCAACAAGATGACAATGACGAAGAAGAAGAAAGTGATGTCAAAGACAATCCGGTACATCTCATAAGGATCCCCAGCAGGGTCTTCGATTTCGTCACCGATACCGCCCCCAGCTCTCACTCCCACGTACATGTGGAATAGGTAACACTGGAGAAGGAAAAGTTGCAGTTTTGGTTTTAGCAAGACAGTCACTCCTGTCTTAGAGCAGCCCTGAGCGAGGAGAAGGTGGCTCTTCAGTGCCACAGCATTCATGC